CCGAGGAGTGGCTGGTGGGTTTGAACCGCCAGCCTTCTGGTTAGCAGTCAAGTGCTTTAGCCACTATGCTACCAGAGCTCCTTCAAAGAACATAGGCACACATATTGAACATCTTCACGTGTTCTCACATGGGGACGTTAACAACAGATGTGGATAGATAGCAAGGGCTTTGTGAAAGGAGCTCACCTGTGGTTTGCTCTGATCAGTGGCATCGCTGTCTGCTTTGTTTTTTCTAAGTCCTTTAGGTCGGTTAGGTACTGGGAGGCTAACTAACATGCCACAATGTGTGCACATGTGGACTTAATATTTGATTAGCAAATGCTTAATTAACTTCCAAATTTAAAAGGGAAACACTACGTGGTTTCGACAACATGACCTTTCCTTCGGCCTGTGCCTAGGGCTGGATAGTTAAAAGACAGCCTTTCAAACTCGGGCTACCTTAATGGCTCTTCCCGGCTCGGTCATCTCCCAGGCTTGCTTCATGGCTCGGATTTCATCTGCTCGTTCGGTATCTTTTTTCACTTCAAGGAACTCTGCCTCATTGGTCTCAGTGACCAATCTCAAAATCCAGTAGGGTTTATTTGGGTCATCTTGTTGAGCATGAGCAGCAGGGAACTGGTGGAATTAAATGAAAACCTTTGGGTCAGATGCTTTCCTCCCTTCAAACTGGGTCTAGATTTTACCCTATACCCATAATCTGAAGGTTAGGCACTTATCCAAAAGAGAAAAAGAGAAAATATACATACACACACACAAAAAAAGATTTCTGTAAGAATATGCATTGTAGCTTATCAATAACAGGAACAATTGAACACAAAATAAATGTCCATCAACTGAGAATGGAAAAACAAATGCTAATAGACATACATGATCGAATATTATTGAACAATAAAGTAGTGAACTACTGGTGTACACCCTACAGTGGATTGACTGACTGATAGTACAGAGGTAAAGAAGTTGAGCACAAGAGAATTCATCTTATGAGTTTCATTTCTAAGAAATTCCAAAACAGGCAAGATTAATCTATAGTGACGGAGAAAGGACAGTGGTTGCCTAGAGGTGAGTATGGGGATGGCAGAATCAACTGCAAAGAAGAAATAAGGGAACTTCTGAGCCTATGGAAATGTTCTATAATCCAGACCTAGAGAAGGGTGTGGGTTCCGTGGTGAATGCATTTGCCAATGCTTATTGAGTTGTACAATTAAGATATTTGCATTACAAGGACCACTGGTGGCGTAGTGCCTAAGGCATTTGACAGCTAACCAGAAGGCTGGCAGTTCAAATCCACCAGCCACTCCTCAGAAGGAAGATTGGGCAATCTATTTTCATAGTGATACCATCTTGGAAACCCAAAGAGGGGTCACTATGAGTCGGATCCAACTCAGTGAGTTTGGTTTTTTTTTTGTCTCTGAGCCGTTTCCTTGTTGGCAAATTGGAAAAATATTATATATCTCAGTGAGTTGATGCATGAGATGAAATAATTAATATAAAACACAGTCCTTTATCCAATAAAGGGGTTGCCTTTACTACTATTATTATTTATTGTTATGGGTTTTAGAAAGGTGTCAGATTTACAGAAGTACGCCAGTCCTCAAGTTTGCTTACTGTAACTTTCTAAGTATGCTGCACCCTCATCTTTGATTTTATCTTTTCTTAAATGGGGGAAATCCTAGCTTTTTGGAAGGGAAAAGACAGATGTAGGAATTTAAATCAGAAAATATCAGTGAAAGTACTTTGAAAATGAAGCACTGTTTATAGTGTTATCTGACATTGCCCAACCATTTATAATCCTGTAAGAAAAACATTCCTGTAGAAAACATTCTAAATGTTTTCTACATTCTAAAACATTCTAAACATTCTAAAATGCTTCCTTTTATCAAGAGTAAGTTCTTGATTATCCTTTCAAAGGAGCACAAGGAGCAGCAGCTCTATGCTCTGTAGCAGCTGGGGCCGGACCCACTGACCTTCTTCCACTGGTTTAACTTGACCTTCAGCCACAGAGCCATACTCAGTATCAGTCATCTTCTTAACAAAACGGCTGAGGTAATGCAAACGAGCCTGGGAAGCCTAAAGAACAAATATTATCAGCTTTTTATGTGTTTTGAAAATAACAAAACAGTACAGGCAACAATGTGTTAACAGTACTCAAAAGGAATAGAAAAAAATGAAGTGAATAGAGTGTTTGAGCCAGGCTGGCCCTTATCAATGATCAAATAAACTCAAATTCTGAACCATTAATGATTTTGACAGGGCTATTTTTGAGAATTAATGAAGTAGCAATCCTGAAACAAGTACTCCTGGCATGCTATCTTACATCCACTTGCTCCTATCCTGGACTTTTTTTCATCTGCTCCAATAACCCTGAATCAGAACATGGAACCTTCACATAACAGTATTCCACTGTGACAGTGATTCTCATAGAAAACAGGAGCGAAAGGAGAGAAGGGGGGTGTATATTCCACAAGGGGGCAGCACATGTTGTTATCTATCTAAGGCCGCTCAAAGAACATGTTGTTGTTGTTGTTATGTGCCATCGAGTCGGCCCCGACTCATAGCGACCCCTCCTTGGGTTTCCGAGGCAGTATCACTAC